TATATATATATATATATATATATATATTCAAAGACGGGCAGAGAGAGAGAAAACTAATCAAGAATTCATCAATACATATCGATACATGTATATGCAGGAGCCAGACCTCGCAGACCTCCACGTCTACTGAACCAGGTCCCCAAAGAGATACTGGAGGATCCAGCCCTCAAGGAAGCCATGACGCTCCTCCCGTCCAACTACAGCTTCGAGATCCCCAAGACGATCCACCGGATCAGGACGGCGGGCGCGACAAAGGTGGCCCTCCAGATGCCCGAGGGTCTGCTCCTGTTCGCGACGACCATCTCGGACATACTGACGCAGTTCTGCCCGGGCGTGGAGACGCTCATCATGGGTGACGTGACGTACGGGGCGTGCTGCATAGACGACTACACGGCGCGCGCGCTGGGCTGCGACCTGCTGGTGCACTACGCGCACAGCTGCCTGATACCCGTGGACGTGACGAAGATCAAGACGCTGTACGTCTTCGTCGACATCAGCATCGACACGTCGCACCTGGTGGCGTCGCTGGAGCGCAACTTCGCCTCCGGCAAGACGATCGCCGTCGTCGGCACCATCCAGTTCAACGCCACCATCCACGGGGTCCGCTCCACCCTCGAGCGAGCCGGCTTCAACGTCATGGTGCCCCAGATCGCCCCCCTCAGCAAGGGCGAGATCCTCGGCTGCACCTCCCCGCGCTTCGACGAGTCCTCGCCCGTCGACCTCATCCTGTACCTCGGCGACGGCCGCTTCCACCTCGAGAGCATCATGATCCACAACCCAGACGTCCCCGCCTACCGATACGACCCTTACTCGCGCAGGCTCACCCGCGAGACCTACGCCCACGACGAGATGCGCGACCTCCGCTCCGAAGCCATCACCACCGCTAAGCGCGCCGGGAAGTGGGGCCTCATCCTCGGCTCCCTAGGCCGCCAGGGGAACCCCCACACCATGAGCCTCATCGAGCAGCGTCTCCGCGACAGGGGCATCCCCTTTGTCAACCTGCTCCTCAGCGAGATCTTCCCGGGGAAGCTGGCTCTCATGAGCGACGTGGAGTGCTGGGTCCAGGTGGCCTGTCCGCGGCTGAGCATCGACTGGGGCTACGCTTTCCCCAGACCGCTGCTCACGCCTTATGAGGCACTGGTTGCCCTCGAGGCCAGGGATGGCTGGGGACAGAGCGCTTATCCCATGGATTACTACGGGAAGGAGGGGCTGGGACGGACAAAGCCGATAGAGGGTTCGGTGTAGACAGGCAGACTCTTTTCACTATTCGACGTTGGGAAAGTTCCGAGGAAATCTGATCGAGAAGTTCTCCTCACAAGACACAGTCGCCTCCTTGGCGATTACAGTATTCATATGACGCCCAGAACCCGGCGCTATATCGGTGCATTGATAGAGTAGCCCGGCTTGTTCAGACTCCGCACCTGTCCCCCCCCGTCATAATCCAAGCATCTTCCACTTGCGTATGTCGGGTTCCACGTCCATCCCTGGACGCCTCTGGGCAAGATAGTTCCAAGACTCGGCCTGCTTCGGTGCGAGTATACTCGGGCTCAGCGTGACGCCTAAGCAAGCGACATCTCTGATAGAGTAGCCGTGGGAAGCACAGTTGGGTTCGCAGACGAGACACCCGCCATGGTGAGCCCCGGATATGGCTTGTGTTCCCAGCCCGCTGAGTAGATATTTGTTCTTTTTTTTTGTGTGTGTGTGTGTGTGTGTGTTTACCCCTTCGGAACCTAGGCATCTTTTTTTTTTTTCAAGCGGGAGCATGCTCCGTGCCCACGGGCTCCGGTCTCCCCGCAAACAGAAGCTTGTACTTGACAATCTCGACGACCTCGAGATCCTGCTCCCTATCACCTCTGGCCTGGCGACGACGCACGACGGCCAGGGCCCTGGGCAGCTTCTTGACCTCGCCCGCCAGCCGCTGGTGCTGCCCGACATACATGTAGACGCGCTTCATCCAGGCTGACCCCTCTACGGCATCCGGGTCGTAGAGCGGGAAGTCGAGCCGGCCGAAGCTGAAGTCGTCGTCTTCGAGGGCCTCGCCGTCGGCGTTGCGGGGCAGGTTGATGGTGCCTTGGAGTTCGAGGATGGCTAGGCCGGAGGGAGTCTGAAGAAGTTGCGGGAGGGGATTAGGTTGCGTGCTGTCCCTGTTAGGAGGGTGGAGCTTAGTGGAGGACATTGTGCTCGAGTGGAGGGAGGGGGGGTTTCCCCTTGTCTCTTATTTTTTTCCCCCCTCTCTTTTTCCTTTTTCTCTCTTTTTCTTGAAGAATATGTATTTGCGTTGTGTTTTGTCGTTCAGGTTGTCGGTTCTTTCTTTGCATCCAGCTGCCACACGCTACGCGACGACACGCGCCGTGTTTAAAAAGATACGTATTCTGTGGCGTAGGTCATTGTGGCTGATGACTAGTAGTAATATTTATATTGTCTTTGAGCCTGGCAGAAACCCCCCGTGGGTTTTTCACAAATCATCCTCATTGGCTCAAAGGGCACATAAACTGCCCCACTACCTTCAACCCTAGTGGCACACATTTTGTTCATTTCTCCCGAATTTTCTCAACACTCCATTTCTCTCCCTCCATCAGCCAAAAAAAAAAATACAGCTTCACACCTGCCGGGTCAAGTCAATTTGCACCAACACATACTGGCAAGATGAAGGTACGAAAGACCCAAAGCCGCCAACAACGCTTCCCCTCGCCATCAGTCGTGTTTCGATATCCTCTATTCACGGCTGCAAACATGCAACTCCACCGTTTTCTCGAGGGCTGTCCGAGCTTGTGTCTTGCTGCCGCTGCCGACTCGGAGAGGACACGGACATATGTGATGAGCAACAGTACATGGACGGAACACATATCGGCTAACACATTCCTATCTTTACAGTTGAACGTTTCCTACCCTGCCAATGGCAGCCAGAAGCTCTTTGAGGTTGAAGATGAGCGCAAGCTCAACATCTTCATGGAGAAGCGCGTACGTTTCTTCTTTCCTCCCCCCTCCCCCCCCTCTCGACGAATCCCCCGGAAAGCAAAACGGGACAAAAGAACACTAGGGATGGACGAAAGAAAGGAGACTGACATGTTGTTTTTAAAATATAGATGGGCCAGGAGGTCCCCGGCGACTCCGTCGGTGACGAGTTCAAGGGCTACATCTTCCGCATCACCGGCGGCAACGACAAGCAGGGTTTCCCCATGAAGCAGGGTGTCATGGCCCCCGGCCGTGTCAAGCTCCTGCTCTCGGACGGCCACTCTTGCTACCGCCCCCGCCGCACCGGCGAGCGCAAGCGCAAGTCCGTCCACGGCTGCATCGTCGGCATGGACATGTCCGTGCTCGCCCTCTCCATCGTCAAGAAGGGTGACGAGGAGATCCCCGGCCTGACCGACGTCGTCCAGCCCAAGCGCCTCGGACCCAAGCGCGCCACCAAGATTCGCAAGTTCTTCGGCCTCACCAAGGATGACGATGTATGTCTTTCCCCGATGCCATACTCGATCATCGCCTGCCCGAGGCCCCTGCTTCTGCAGTCCGGGTAGAGTGTGAGAGGAAACTCCCTGGTTTTTTTCCCCACTCATCTTCCCCCATCCTCCGCCCATTTTTTCTTCTTCCCCCTCTTTTTCTTTTCCCTGCTCTTATCTTCTCCATCTGCGGACTGCAAAAAAGTTTTTGCAAGTCTTCTTCCACACTTTTCCAAATACCAAAGACTACCCCACTCCGCGTGTGGTTCTTTCCTATTTGTGAGAGGAGGGAAGAAGCCAGTAGAGAGAAACAAGGCAGACGACGAAAAGGAAGAAGAAGAACAAGCGTATAGGGTGTGTGAGTTTTGAAGAAGGGGAAGAAATCGGGGTGGCGATAAAGAAAACACACACACAAAAGCTGCCAGAAAACTAATCCTCGTACCTTCTCTCTTTTCAATAGGTCCGCAAGTACGTCATCCGCCGCGAGATCCAGCCCAAGGGTGAGGGTAAGACCCCTTACACCAAGGCTCCCAAGATCCAGCGCCTTGTCACCCCCCAGCGTCTCCAGCACAAGCGTCACCGCGCTGCCCTCAAGCGTCGCCAGGCCGAGAAGGTCAAGGACGAAGCCGTACGTTTTCTCCCTCCCCCCCCCCCCCCCCCCCCCCCCCCCCCCCCCCCCTTTTTTTCTCCCTTTTCCATTTCTTCTGAACATTGACTAACACCTATACAGAACGAGTACGCTCAGGTTCTCGCCAAGCGTGTCGCCGAGGCCAAGGCAACCAAGGCCGACGCCCGCAAGCGCCGCGCCAGCTCCATGCGCAAGTAAACAAGAAAACTAAAATAAAAAAACCGGTTCTGTTGTATCATGTTATAAATGACGTACGAGATCCCCCCCCAGATTATTCGCACAACAAAAAAAAATGGAGATTGGACCAGGACGTTTTTTTTTTTCTTTTTTTTTCGTGAGGAGTTTTAAAAAAAAGAAATTCACAAAAATTCAAATAAACCTGATCGAAATTCCCATCATTTGAGTTTCTTTTTTCTTTTTTTTTTCAACCAGTGGGAGAAGACGACAATGTAAAAAGCAATTCATACAATCAAAACAGCAAGATGACCAGTACTGGCGTATGACTATTTCTCGTCGGTCGACGGTGCTGTCTCTTTTCTTCGTCTTGTTCAATCCCTTTAAAGCACAGCCCTCGAGTGACTGGCTGTTTGCTTGTAGTTAGTTGTCTCTTAAGAACTTGAATCATTCACACCAATAATCATGTACAAAAAGAAGTCATCAATCTCGTCTATTTGATCATCACACCACGAAATTATGCTACAAAAGTCATCAACCCTCCTCATACATATTTACCTAGGCGAGGGCCATTCTCATCCTCCTCTGTCATGTTTCTCCGGTGGTGCTCTGCCCTCGGGAAGGGACCTGCACTTCCCTCCTGTCTGAGCGAGCAATCCTGGAGAGAAAGAAAGCACAAAAAAACAAAAAAACAAAAAAAAAAGAGAGAACTCAACGACCCCACATCTCTCTCTCTCTCGAAGCAAAGAAAAAGAAAAGGAAACCAAGTCGCAGAAATGGGCAGTAATCCCATTCCTTCCTGCCTCTTTTTCCCTCCTAATAAAAAAAAACATCTAAACACATCTCTCTATTATCAAAACTCAAGCATCTCCATTCTTTTTATTTGGGTGGGGGGGAGGCATATCATCAGCTTAGGCGAAACCAAAGTACTCGCTTCCGGCAGTAATGGCCTTGAGTATCCTGGTGCGCAAAACTTCGTAGCTCTCGTATTCAGGAAGATCGAGTTCTGCAGATCAGGTTATGTTAGCTCATGTATACTTGGAAGAAGGTAGAGGTTGATAGTATGATCAGAAGACTCACGGTTGAAACACGTGTGCGAGGTGGGCAGACGGTCCGTGCTGCTATAGTCACGGTGAATGTTGAACCTGTTGATGCCGTTCATGCCCTCGAGCTCCTTGAATCCGTTGAGGGGAACCTTGCTTGTTCCCGTGACGAACTGCACCAGCTTGGCCCGCTCCTCCTTGTCAAAGGACCTGACAGCGCGCCAGAACCACTGGATCTGCGGCGAGGACGGGTTGTAGTTGTGGTATTCAGTGTTGCTCTTCCAGTCGTCGATATCAATGTCGGGGAGACCCGATATGAGGAGTTCGAGCTCCTGCTCGTTGAAGATGGAGATGAGGTGAGCCGGGATGATATCGTGGAAGCCTAGTGAGCAAGCAAATGTTAGCAGTTGTCCAGTACAGCACAGCGAGGGAGAGGGTGGGATGAATATGTCAAGTGTGACGTACCATTCAGGAAGTGCTCCATCTGGTCCTTGACCGATGACAGCAGGCGATGCTCCACAACGAGGCGAACATAGTCGTGTTTGTTCTCATCAGTGACGGGGATATCGCGACCGTTGGGGACGAGGTCCACAATTTTGGTGACGCCAAACTCGTCGTCCTCGACGGAGAAGGTCTCGGTGATGATGTCGGTAATGTCGTTCTCCAGCATCCAGCACAGCGACTTGTAGTAGTCTGGGTCGAACGACTCCATGTCCTTGACCGACACCGACTTGCCTAGGATGCGCTTGTAGACAGCGCGGCTGAAGAAGCAGTCGAGCAGGCGGCCCTCGTACAGGGCCTTGCCGATGATGCGGCCGATGAACTTGAAGAACATGAGGTGCTCGTCGTTGATACCGCTGAGCTTGTTGGGGTGGAACGTCGTCTGGTCCGACGACACGGGGATGAAGAGGGCGTAATTGGGATCGAACATCTGGCGGGCGAGGACCTGGAACCACTCGCGAGTGACGCCACCGGCGTCGACACCTTCTTCGCCGTGGAAGCGGATGTTCAGCTTGCCAAACTTCATCTCGTCTCCACTCTTGAAGTAGAGCGACCGGAATGAGTCGTGGAAGACCTGATCGCGGCGCACAGACAGATTGAGCGACGGGTGGGCTGGCCGGCCGTGTTGAGGCTGGCCGGTCCTCGAGTGCACACTCCTGTTGAAGTAGTTGCGCTTGTTGTCGAACTCGAGTACCTTCGGGTTCTTGACCAACAGGGCAAACGTTCCCGACATGAGCTTGGGGTTGTGGCGGACGAGCTCGTTGAGGATGCGACGGTGCTCCTCAGTGAAGGTGAAGAAGAGGTTGGCCGTCCGCGACTCGGCAGGCGGGCTCGACATGACCATGTCCTTTTCGGGGGCGCTCTCTAGCGGCTGGCCCTCTATCGTCGTGTTCTTGCACACCACCATGAGCGACTCGATAAGCGGCAGGAGGATCGTGGCCACGTTCATCATGTTCTCCCGCCCGTGTATCGCAGTCAGGCAGTTGCCCAGCTTCTCCCACATGGCAGAGAATGTCGAGTTGTGGTACAGCGATGACAGGAGATCGCGCTTTTCGCCATCCGACCTGTCCGACTCCGACTTCGACTGCTTCTTCTTGACATCAAACAGGTGATCGAGGGCCGTGAGCACACGCAGGAGCTTGTTCTGCTCAGAAGCGCCGGGTGAGAACTTGCCCAGGGCGAGGCCCTGAATCTCGGTGCCCGAGGACGCCCTCTCGATGTGGGGGAGCAGGTCGTCAAGGTCGTTGACAATGTTCTTGCTGAGCAGGCGAGCCTGGTTGACAAGCTCCTGGCCAAAGACAGCCTTGGCTCCCGGCACCGTCGACAAGTTCTTGATCGTCGAGATGGTGTTCTGGAACGTCTTGGAGCTGCACTCGCGAGCCACGAAGATGCGAACCACCAGCGTCAAATTCTGCGGCGGGATATAGGGGGGCTGAAGTAAGCGGGCCTTCTTCTGCGACTCCTCAGTCTCGTCCTTCTTGACACCTTCCTCCTTGTTGACAGCAGAATCATCGCCACCGTTGCTGCTGCTGCTGCTGTTGTTGTTGTTGTTGTTGTTGTTGTTGTTGTTGTTGTTGTTGTTGTTGTTGTTGTTGTTGTTGTTGTTGTTGTTGTTGTTGTTGTTGTTACTGTTCTCCGGTTCCGCTTCTTGCGCGGCGGTTGCTGATTCAGGGGCGTCTTGAGCGGCAGCATCCGCCTCAGCATCAGCGGCAGGAGCAGAGGCATTACCTTCTTGCTCTCCTGTATTAGCTGGCTCGCCTCCTCCCACGTCCTTATTCTCTTTCTTCTGCTCCGCCTCCTTGCGGCGGCGTTCCAGGGCTTGCAACGGCAGCGTGACGCGGTTGAGAAGATCTGCCAGGTGCGTCATGACGACGGAGCTCTCCATGATGAGCTCGCGGTCAAGGAGTGTGAGGAGCGAGTTGATGGCAAACTTGTGGGCCTTGGAGTCCTTGTGGTCCTTGTCCTTGCCCTTGCCCTTGCGGCTCAAGGTCCTCTTAAGGTTGGCGGCGACCGCCTCGTGCTCGGTCAGGAACAGCCACGGGACATGGGGGTTCTTGAGACACAGGTCGACGAGGAGGTCCAGGCACTGGTGGACAATCAGCAGCGGCGAAGTCTCCGAGTTTATCTCGGTGGAGGCGGTCACGTTCAAGGCCGTCAGAGTCCTCTTGAGGCCTTGGGGCGTTCGAAGATCCATCTCCTTCTCCTTGCTGCGTCGGGCCTTGAGGGATAGCTGGCTGAAGCTGCGGTCCACGGCACCCATGTCCGTGCTTCCCTCCTGCAGTATCTGGAGAATGGTACTAATCACCTCCAGGCGGTTCTGGCGATTCTCGCATACATCGGCGAACACGCTAAACAGGTAGCTGCGGATGGAGCCGTGCTGTGCAATGAACATGAGCCGCACGAGCGTTGCCACGCCGGCCTTGTCCAGCATCTGGACGACAGCCCGGCGCTGGATCTTGGCCTCGCCAGTCACAGGCGCAGGCGGATGCAGAGCAGACCTGACGGGTCGTGGTGGCCCGCGGCCGGCGATGATCGGGCGGGGATCGCTGTTGTCACGCTGGAGTCTCCGCGCCTGCTCGGCCATTTCCGGGGGCAGCTGGTCCATGATCTCGTCACCCTGCTCCATCAGAACTTGCTCGCGGAGCTCGGGTGGGAAGGTCAGCAAGATGCTGGCCGTGTCCATGTCGCTCTGGATGACATCGCGGCCTCCAGAAGACACGGCAGCGCGTGCAGCCGTGTGGTCGCGCCGGCGCTGCTCCTGGGCCTCCTGCTGCTCAATCTCTCGGCGCAGCTGGGGTGGGAGGGCCTCGAGGAACTCCTGGAAAGCGGCCGGCGTCTCGCCGGTAGTGGCCTCCTCACGCGCCTGCGAGCGGCGTGCTGACACAGCTTGGGCGACGACCTCTTCCCTGAACTCCTCGGGCAGGGCGGCAAGATAGTCGGGGTCGATCCCGAGGTCCGTTACGTCGATTTCTTGGTCACCAATCGTCGCCATGACCCTCGGCTGCGAGGGACCAGCATCTTCGGCACCTTCTTGCGGAGGGGCGGTCTCGACGCCCTCCATGGCGCCCTGGTCGCCGCCGGCTTGGTCCGAAGCGCCCTGGCCGGAATCCTCGGTGCTGCCTGCTGCAGCAGCGTCCGCTGCAGCGCGCTCGGCAGCTTGGCGTGCCTCTTCCTCGGCCTTCTCCTTGGCCTCTCGCTCTTGGCGCTCCTTCTCGAGCCTGATCTTGCGCTCCTCCTCCTCCTTCTCCCTGCGCTGGATCTCGACGCGGCGCTGGAGCTCGGCCTGCTCCTCGGCGGCCTTCCTTTCCCTCTCCATGGCAGCAGGGATCAGCTTGGCGTGGATTATGAAGCTGAGCTTGAGAGCCTCGTTAATCTCCGAGTTGTTGAAGAGCATCTTTGCCTCTTCGTCATAGCGCTCGATGGTGCTCTGGACAGGGAAGAGCACGGCCTGGCTAGGTTCATGGGACGCCGTCTCCCGACGGTGGTCCTGCCTAGACCCGCGGGGCAGTAATTCTCTGGTCTCACGGGGGCCTCCAGGGCCCGATATGTGAAGGTGGAAAGCATGGCCGTCACGGCCCATGACAGGCAAGATGTCCATGAGCTCCCCGAGGAAGCCCATGGGGCCATCCGCCCCTCGGCGACCGCCTCCAGCGAGGAACTCGTCGGGAATCCGGAGTCCGATGGCTTGCGGGTGGCCAACGCGGGGCTGGCCATCCTGCCCCTGGCCTTCTCGCCGCAGAAGAGGGTTGGCACCATCTTCAACAGCAGGTTGCGGCAGTGCGTTGCGAGGGTGGCGGGAAAAGTAGCTGCGGAAGTCTCCAAGGGGACCGCCGTGAGGTGCGCCGACGACGAAGCCAGGCGGGAACGGACTGCGGCTATCCATGCCTCCGAGACCCCGACGCCCGTGGTGAGCGTGGTGGTCGAGAAGCACAAGCCGGTTGCGGTCTCCATCGGGGCCGAGGCCATCCCAGCCAAGGCCGGGCATAGCAGGAGGGGGCTGGTCGTAGAGAGGATCCTCGGCTTCGTCATCGATCAAGTACTCTTCTTCCTCAGCTAGATCCTCATCATCATCGTCTTCATCCTCGTCATCCAGTCCATCGTCGGGGTAGTGATCGTCGATCAGGTCGGGATCGTACTCGTCGCCCTGCATGAGAGCGCGAGTCATGGTGTTGAGGATCCCCGCCGCTGGCGGCATGCCTTGAATATCGGCTTGCTCGGCTTCCTGAGCCTCGGCTTCATAGTCGAGCTCCTCCTCCTCGAGGTCATCGTCGTCTTCTTCTCCGCTCGCGCTCTCCCAATGCGGGTCTCCGTCATCCTCGATGGGGTCACCGTCCTCGTTGACGATCTCGAGGCGATCTTCGGCATACTCCATGTCGGCCGAGTCGATGTCGTCGTCGTCGTCGTCGTCGTCATCGTCATCCTCCTCCTCACTGTCGTCCTCGTCCTCGTCCTCGTCATCCTCGTCATCATCATCCATGACAACCTCGACAACGCCGGGCTCGCCGTGGACTCCTTCGATCTCACCCATCTCGCTGTCTTCACTGACATTGTCCTGCTCGTCTTCGGACATGCCCTCTTCGTCGTAGTCCATCTCATCATCGTACTCGTCGCCGTACATGTCTTCGCCCTCTTCATCCTCTTCCTCGCTCTCATCGTCCTCACCACGAGGCTCCAGCATGCCCAAGGATGAATTGCGGTAGAGGTCGGGCGTTTCCTCCCGCTCATCCTCCATATCGTCGGAGAGCGACGAGGTAGAGCCAATGTCGTCATCGACCGCGTCCGCTAGAGCAGAGGGCAGCAACTCAGTGTGGCTGAGCTCCTTGGCTGTGTCGGTCAAGATGCGGAGCACGCGGAGGATATACTTGATCGCGCGCTTGACACCGGGAAAGTTGAGGTTGACCTCGGCGATGGATAGGGTGAGCTTGTCGAGGAATCCCTTCTCGTACATCAGGCGGCGGAGCTGGGCCTGGGACCGGGATTGGTTGCTGTCGGAGCTCCTCGTGTGAGATCCGTGATCCCTGTCCCGGTCGCCGACCATGTGGTTCATGAGTTCAGCCAGAGTCTGCATGCGAGAGTAGCGTGTCTCCAAGGGGTCGTCGGACGTGGGAGCTCGCTCGTAGGCCTTCAGGATGGTGTCGAGGACAAACTTTCGCACGAATTGAAGATCCGACTCCTCTTCGTCGTAGGCGAACTTGGGAGCGTTGCGGTCGAGGGGGCGCTCCTTCGTCTTGGAGACCAGGGCAACGAGCACCTTGCGAGTGTGAGACGACGTCGCCGCCTTCTTCTTCGCGGGGATGGTATCGTTCGTGCCACTGAGATTTCCTTGGCAGAGGAGGTCGTAGATGAGGTAGTTGAGCACGCTAGAGCGAGGCTTCACAGGCGTGTTGGACGACAGTGGCGGAGCGCTGCGCTTGAAGTTGATGAACTCCACCTTGGTCCTGTTGTAGCTCTGGAGAAGCTCCGTGAGGCAGTTGAGTATGAAGCACCGGTAGACAAAGATGGGGTGCTCCTCGGACTTGAAGATGGGCTTTGAGGGCTTCTTATCTGCGCCGTCCGCCTCCGACGATTCAGCAGCGGCATCCCGACCCTCGATGTTAGCATCGGCCGAGGGCGGTTCCTTGTCGTCAACCTCGCGGTAGTTGACCAGTTCCGAGAGGAGGAAGTGGACGACACCGTCGGGGTTCTCCACGGAGGGGCGTTTCAGGTCTGACTGGGTCTTCCCAGCATCCGCCATGCCCTTGTCCGTCGGCTCGGTCGAAGGCTTGACGTCGGGGCTTGCCGGGGCATTCTTCTCTTCCTCAGTCTCTGCCGCAGACTCGCTCTTCTTTGCGTCGCCTCCACTGGCCTTGAGGGCAACATAAGCTGACTTTGACGGCTCCCCTTGCCCGGGACTCCACTTGGGTATCTCGATCATCTCGTTCGTTATCTCGACAAAGAGATCGGGGGAGCGGATGGCCAGGGGCGTCATGTGGCGAAGGTAAGTTGCCAGGTCCGACTGAGATCGGCTGCTGCGGGACACGCTCAGAAATTCGGCCTTGATCTCAGAACGCATGATCTGTCTGAGGATATCCTCGTCCTCGACGATGTGACGCAGGATGGTGATGATGTAGGACGTCGTCTTGCCCTGCATCAGCCGGTCGGGACCTGAACCAGCAAGCTGCTTAGCCATAAGGAACAGGCGTTGGAGGTTCTTCCTGTCCCCGACGTGCTTTGCCAGAGACCTCCTGCGAGTGAGCATGACGAGGATGCGGAGGACGCACGTGGCAAGCACATCATCTTTGCCGATGCGAGGAAGCAGCTCGAGCACAGAGTCGAGAAGGCGCTGGCGCTGGTCTTCGGCGACCAGGGGCGTGGGCATGTTGATAATGGGCTGCGCCGCCTCCTCTTCCAGAGACTTTGGCGTCTTCCACTTGGCCGCAACGGGGCGCTCGTCGTGGCGCAGGATCAGCTCCAGCACGAGGAGGATGTAAGGGATCCACGGGGGCATCTCGTCGCCCGCAGTTGGCGGGGGGACCTTGACAAACTCGACGTACTCTTCGACCTTCTCCCGAAGCGTGTCCAGGTTCTGCTGGAAGAAGCCGTCGTCGTGGAGCAGCAGAGCGAGAAGGTGAGCGTAGGAGGCGATGCACTTTCCATTCGCCTTCCTATCTTCCTCCTGGAAAGCGAGAGAGAGGGCAAACGTCAGCGTGGAGCAGACGTCGTCCTGCATCTCCTGGTTCTGCTGCTTGATCACCATGGCGTTGATGAGATCAGACACATCCATGGCGGTAGTGGGGTGGGTGCGAATAACATCCAGGCATCGGTCAATGAGTTCATTGCGAAGCTCAGCGCGTTGACGGTCAAGATCAGCCTTTGTAGCTACAAATTCGAGCTGGGATTCGTTCGAATCAGCGGCTGCCGGTTGGGCTGCATCCGCCGCGGAGCCCTGGCTCTGCTCATTGCCGGCGGGCGGCTGCTCGCCACTGTGCTCCTGTGAAACGGCCTGGGAGAACCGGTTCACGAGTTCGGCAAAGTTATCGCCAGAGACGGGATCGGAGTCGTCCAGAGACATACGGTCCGCCTCGGACGATCCTGTGGCGTTTGACGAAGCGCGGCCGGGTCTGTTGGTACGCCGGTCCGTGCCTGTCGAGGTATCCGCATCCGCCGGCGGGATCGGGTTCCTTGAGCCGGCAACCCCTTGGCTGTGAGCTCGGCAGTAGTCACGGGCAGCGTTGGCGTTTCCATTGGCTCTGAACACTCCCTCGTGGGCCAAGTCTTCCCCAAAGTCGGGGGTAAGCTGCGCGACCACCTCGCGGACTGAGACCCAGTTGAACCTCGCGTCAGTGTACTTGAGGAGGAAGAACGGCTTCTGTATCGGCACAGAGGTTAGTCATGAGCAACGCGCTCTCCGCATCTCACGGAAATCGACCGGAAAAAACAGTGGGCTCACCTTGTCTCTCGGTGTGGATGCGGGTTCGTGATCCGCTAGCGCAATCAGCTTCAGGATACCTATCAGGCGCTTCACCGTCTGGTCGGGGACCTTTTCGACGACGGAAGAGTTCCACAGATCCTTGATAGCCGGCAGGATCGTCGCACGGATATCCACCACGAACTGCATGGAGACGTGGGGTATGGTGACAGTGCGGTCAGTGTGGCGCTGCAGGTTCACCGTACCGTTGGCCTCGGCAATGTATTTGCCGTTGGCCAATATAGAGCAGAGGTCCAGGACCTTCTTCAGACCAAAGGCCGCGACCTTGGGTTTCGACGACTCTCCCGGCGCGCCATCGGCCTGCTGTATGTACTGGGAGAAGACCTTGACCATGGAGCCGAGCACATCTAACCCGCCCAGCTCCTTGAAAGCCAGGAGGACAGGCAGGATAAGGTGAGCGGACGCCCGGTCGGCATGTCTCGGGGGGGCTGCGTAGAAGTGGCGGTGTTAGCGATGTGCGTCGCGGGAGTACCGAGCTATATCCACCACACATGTACGTATTCGGCACTTACGGTTCTCAACCAGCATCTCATGCAGTGTATGGAGCATGATGATCCAGTAATGGAAGTCCTTGGACGTCGGCTCGGGACCGGCCACAGAGGGCCGCAAGTGATCGAGGACGGCGTTGACCAGAGCCTTGGCGAGCTCGATCTGGCGAGGCCTCGGGTACATGTCGCCCTGGTGTGTCGGATCGCGTCGAGGAAGCAGAGCCTTGCCGACGGCCTGGAAGAGTGGGAAGGTCGTCGGGATCATGGGATGCAGGAGGCTGCGGAATATTTCGTAATTCTGGAAACGCGGGCTGGACTGCTCCTGGCTCGAGAGGCTCGACAGCCCAGAATCCTCGGCGGCGGTGCCGCCGCTCGTGCTGGCGGCCGAATCAACGATGGCTTCGGCAAGGGCTCGGCTGGCTTCGGGGTCGATCGCCTCGTCGTGGGGCGCGTCCTCCAGGGGCGACTTGCGCCTCCCGGACCAGTTCACGGGGACCATTGCCAGCTGGCCGGCCTCTTCAGCCAGGACACCTCGCAGCAGAGGGCCGATGGTGTTGATGAGGCGGAGGAAGTGGTCGTACACGTTGATGGGGTAGAAATTGAGCGTGTTGGACCGCGAGCTGGGGAAGCACTCTGAAACAATCTTGACAAACGTCTGGGCGTTGAGGCAAGCCTTCATCATCTTAGTGCCATTCTCGATGACCTGGGACGCTTCGCCATCATCGGGCTGGGAGGATGGGTCTGCCGTCAAGAAGGGGGCAAAGTAAGGCGGCACGGGCTCGGTCTTCATGGCAATAGGCCGAATAGCATCGACAGCGGCCTGCGTGCGGTTGAGCAGAGAAGGCAGGCCACGGACAGGCGAGAACTCTACCAGGGTGGCGATGACTTGGCCGAGAACCCGGGAGGCCAGAGATTCGCCAAAGTTGGCGGCAAGGCTGGGAGACTCGCAGATGTCAAGCAACATCTCCACGCCACCCTTCTCGATAAAGCTCGCCTTGAGGACCGTGTTGGACATGTAGGCGGTCAGGAAGCTGGCGAGAGCAAAGACGTAGGGCGTGAACGAGGTCTCCGGAGAGTCCTTGGCCTCCTCGACCGACTTGCGCGCATCTGCACTCGAAGGGCGCGAGCTCTCCGTCATGACGATATCCGCATCTCCAGGTGCCGCAGCGCCGGTCGTGCCATGCTGCGAGTCATCAGCCTTCTCAAATGTCCCGTCAGGCAGGACCGAGTGCGTCGCCCCCTCCTTGTCGGTGACAAGCAACCTCACGCCCCACCCGGCGGTACGCGACTTCTCGATGCCGAGAAAGCGAACACGTGCGACCATGTCGATGACAGCGTTGGAGATGGATGCGCGAAGGGCGGGATGGTGGCGGGCCAGCTCGTCGAAGCTGCCTCCGACGTTGCTGGCGAGGTCTGTGTCGGACACCATGCAGCTTACATGCCTAGGGCTCTCGAAGATCTCGAGGAAGCTGTCAAAAGCGCGGGAAGACACCACGAGCTTCATCCCCGCATTGTTGAGGCAGACGGAGTTGAGCACCTGGGGGACAACGTTGATAGCTTCGGACGAGGGCAGAATACCCGACGCCAAAGTGCCCCTGTCAGACCGGCTGAGCATCTCCTCGGTCGGGGGATGGGGGCGTTGATCGTCTCCGACGTCGGCCATGATGGCAGACGAGGCAGTCGAGTCGGCATCATCGGCCTGCTGCTGCTCCTCCTCGGTGTCCTTCTGGGCCTCGGCCACCTCTGCAGACACGTCGTGTGCGGTGACGGCCTCCAGGTAGGTCCTGATCATGCCAGACTCCATAATGACGGCGAAGCTAGTAGGATCATTGTTGATGAAGTCGCCGAGGATGGTGACGCTGTTTGTCCAGTCGACGGAGCCGAACATGTGCTTGTCAGACATGACATCCCTCAGGCTCGCTAGAAGGTCAGATTTGTCGGCCAGGTTCCGCAGGAGCCTGTCGGTGTTGCCCCCGTATGTGTAGGAGTTGGACATGATGTGATGGATGAACCTAAGGAGCCATCGCAGGGTCTGCTGCTGATAGTAGGGGATCTTATAGTCGACGGCGTTAGACTGCAGGTCGGGTGTGGTGCCACGGCCCTCCTCGGTCAGGCGGCGGGATTCCTTGACGGAGTCGACGACCAAGTCGGCGACGCAGTCCAGTCCATTGGCACTGAAGAAGGCCGTAAAGGCGTTCTGGTACGTCCAGATCAACCCATCGAGAAAGCCTATCACCATGGAGTGGTGACGCTGAGCGATGTTGGAGCGGAGCTTAATCATCTCTACCAGGATATCCATGAGGCCAGCTGAGACCATCTCAGAGCCGGCGCGGGTGTGCATGGAGAGGTACAGGGTCAGGGAGAAGAGGCTGTCACGCCAGTCATCCTCGACGGTCATCTTGGCAAACCTCTCGGTGTCGACATCTTCCCTCATGCCAGCGACAGCCTTGCGGATGACGTAGAGAAGAACTCCGTGGCTGACGTTGGCATTGAGTGCGGAGAGGACATCCTGGCACCTCGCGCTGAAGTTGGCGACGGCCTCGAGGAGAGTCAAGGCTATCGTCTGCAGCCACAGCGGGGCACCAGCGGACCCGTCTGTGGGTGGGCGGATGAGCTCAGCAAGCTGGTACACTATCTGGAAACGACGCGTCTCGTCGGAATCGTAGCGAAGCACCTTCTCCACAAAGCTGGATTCGCCATGGATGTAGGCCAGGTTGACAATGCCCAGGAGGCGCACGGCCAGAGCCTTCTGACGGGACTGCTGCGACTCCAAGATGGCCTTGGCAACCCGCAAGCGGTTGAAGGCCTCGTACCTGGAGGCGGATGGCATATCGCTCGGGAAGCGGGACGCGAGCTCCGATATGGGGGTCGAGCTGACGACTGAATGCGGCAGTTCAAAGATCTTCTGGCCGGAGGCTGAATGGTCCTCGGCCACGCCAGGAGTTCGGAGCCCGGCCGGGGACGGCTCCTCGCCATGAGCCTGCCGGGGCTTGGGCGTGGTGGCCGGGACGGCAGAGCTGGCAGTGTGACTCCGGCGCAGAGGCGTGGGCGTGGAGGGCTGTGATGAGCGGCCTGGTTCGGCACGAGGCTTCTGGTCCACCGCACTCTCCTCTGGGTAATATGTAATACGGATATCGCCCCAACCGGACCACGACTTGTCATCAGAGAGCGCCAAAGAGACGAGGTCGTTTTCATGGAAGGCGCTGGGCCCCTTTGCGCCGGACTGGTGGGAACGGTCCTTGCCCTTGGGGGTAGAGGCCGGGGTCGCGGACGAGACGGGATCGCCTAGCCCCAGGATGGGCGTCTTGACAAACGGGTTCGCCAGTTGCTGGACCCGTTCAAGATCGATATTGTAGTGGTTGGCCAGCAGTGCGGAGCTGATCTGCCTAGAGGTACCTCCAAGGCGCCTAACCGAGGCTTGGTACCTCTGGGCGAGCTCTGAGCCGACCTCCAAGGTGGCGGTGAGAACGGACCAGCATGTGGTGTGGAGCAGGTCGTTGAGGTGGCCGCTGCTGGCGTAGATGCTCCTATTTCCACAGCGCTCCAAGAGCATGTTGGTGAACCTGAGGACGGCCTCGACCAGCAGGCGGTCGCCCTCGGGGTGGATCTGAAAGTCGGCGGGCAGCTTCTCGCGCCAGTCGGCCTCGCCACCAAGCTGTTCATCCTGACTGTGCTCGAGGAGCAGCTCGCAGCCAAAGTCACGTAGCTGCGGGCCCTTGGAGAGGTCGTATATCTTGCAGAGCGTCTCGAGGATGGCGTCGAAGCGATTTAGGAGCGGGATCCAGTGATATAAATCACCCCGGCCAAACGGCCATCGCGAAGGAAACTCGGCTAGGCGGTCGGGCAAGACGGGTAGGGGTGTCGTACAAGCGGATTCGACGAAGTCCTTGAGCCAGGGAGACTGTTCAGAGGAAACGAAGGGGTCAGTCGGGGTACGAGGTCAACGGGAAGAGGGGTATGGGAGGGATGCGGCGAGTTCGCACGAGTTCTGCGGGACGGCCAGACTCACCAGTGTTTCCCTGTGCTTGGGCTGCATCGTCTTAGTTATTCTGCCCATTGTAGCGATCAGAGCGGCAAAGCCGCGACACCAGATGTGCAAGCTCCCCCTCCACTGCTATCGAGCTATCCCACGGAGAAGACAGCGTTGCTCTGGTTCGGGCGAGTGCCCCGGTTGGACAGCTCCAGGCGCCCAAGAGCGGAGATTTCGGCGGCACGGCTATCGGTATCGTGAGAAGCGATCCTTTCAGTCGAGAAGGCTAACGGAGCCTCTTCGGAGCAGTTGGCCGGTGAGGAAGAGACCGATCTTCTCCAGCGTGGCGAAAACAGAGAAGCGAAAAAAGAAAAAGAAAAAAACAGCACAAGGTCGGTGACTGCGGGGTGAGGTCGGATGCGGACGAAGGAATGCAGAGGGCCACTCGGGCGACGCGATAGTCTTGATCTCGACACACTAAGGGTGGAAGGTGGAGGGTCAAGGAGAGGAGGCTGCGTGAGGCTTGGATACGGAGACCAGAGACGAGTGCAGGTCGTCGAGGTTCAGCGAGTCCAGGCTGAAAGATCGAAGCAGCTTTAGGTAACCAGACAGAAAGTTGTCAGGTCGTGGTCGGAAACAGACAATCTACCACACAAGGCTAGAGTAGAAAAAGAGGCCGGGGCGGTGGCAGGTGACTGTTGATGGAAATTTTGCTAAAGAGCAAGTAAAAGAAGGAGAAGGGATGGTTTGAAAGAACAGAGTTGGTAATAAAAAAAAAAACCGAAAGTGAACTGTGAGGTTCGAAGTTTCTGGTGCATCACAGACGTATGTGGGCCTTTTTGCGTAATAGGCGTACATGTAGGCGTAGGTGTAGGCGTAGGTGTAGGCGTATAGGTAATAGTAGGCCTGTTACCGTCACCTGTCCGTAGGCCTGCCGTCCAGGGTGGGTGGCTGCGAGCCGACGGCCGTCAGAAAAAAAGGCCAAGAGCGTCAAAAGCGAGGCGAGTGGTCTGTGCGCCGCGGCAAGATTTCTCTTGCTACGGAGTGTTACTACCGAGGATTCTACTACTTCTACAGTTACTATATCTGTAGTATGTACGGAGTACATGTATGGAGTAATACTGAGTACTACTTCTACCAAAAACCGCGATTCTACTCATGGCGGGTGTAACCGTGATTATCTTCATGTGCTCCGTTACAGCCATTACTACCACTACTACAGATGTGCTGCTGCTGCCGCTGCCGCTGCTGCTGCTTAGTACTAGCACCTGTGCTACACGATGATACACCTCTAGTAGTTCTGTGAAGACAAGCTTGTTCAGCGCTGTGATGGAGATGTTCGCCGTTAACGATACCACTACATGTACTATTACCGCCAACACTGCACGGAATCCTCGTAGCACTAACACTACTTGTACTGCAGGGAGAGGAACCATCAGGGCCCGTCATATATCGCCACGTACTGTCGCCAACTGGCAACCTTTTTCGAGTGTTTTACGGCTGAAGGAGGATGACTGTACATCTTGGTCAGGCTGCGTATGTGTTTGCCTTCTTCCTTCTGCCAGCCGAAGATGGTATTACCTCAGCAACGAGGGGAAATACGATGACGAAACCCCTCCTCCCCCTTGCCTCCGCCGCCAACCTTGTTTTTTTTTTTTCGTACCTACCTATATAAATACAGTTCCGATCATCCTGAAAGCTATCTGCCCAACCGCTACTGACTACCATCACCCGCTGCAGTGCTGGTAGTCGCAATATTACGTCGTAGTAATAAGTAATACGCCGTAATCCAGTCATCGATACTCGTAGAGCCGGTATTGGAGGTGGGGGGTACCAAGACTCTGCTGCGGGGTGCTTATCACATCTTCACATACCCTACAACGACCGGTACGAAATCCGTTCGCCTTGCATCCTCACGTCCATCTCCTCCTGTGATTTTCCTTATCGCTTTTTTTTTTCTATCTGTTTGTCATCTCTTTACCGGACCACAGCGTGATGATGGGGGTGCTACGAACGATACGTTGTCAAACAGGGGTGGGGGGGGTTAGCGTGCTGCGGACAGATCTATCTGGACAACCGTCAACACTCAACTTGTAGCTGCACAACATGGGATGCTTGTGATCGCTGTACCACACCTGTACATGATCCAACCACAGATACGACACATACACGCACAAGGCAATGTGGCTGTTCTGCCATGACTGTACAGAGGGAGGTATCACCGCTTAGAGAGGATGGTAACCTTGTTGGTGTCCTGAGCGACTGTCACTTATCAAGACAGACATCACCATATTCTAGTATTTTCCGTATCCACAAGCAGTTGAAACATGAAATCGATTGAACAGTAGTATCACCCGTCATATTGCCATATTGCCATGGCCGGCGCTTGCTGATGCGGTGCGAGCAGTAGTGCATTGCATGCACATGCGGCGATGCGCCCTGTGGCCCTCTGTTGAGAGCATATTGTTTCATGCACACACGACTGACCCGAAAGACCGGGCCTTTTTCAACCTCTCCAATCTTGTGGTCGTGGGCCCCTCATATAGGGGGGGGGGGGGGGGGGCATATCAGCCACCAGCACGTTCGTGTCTCAGAGCATCCCTCTCTGCGTGTCTCTCCGTCTCCTCGTAAGGCCCGTCAAAGCCGATGCCATGAGGGGGCCGGACTCGATAGACAGCTGAGGTTGGCCGTCAGCCAGCCACGGGCACATGCAGAGATATGCCGTCATAGGGCTAGAGAGAGCGGTCGGGGTGTTTTATCAATATCATCATTATTCATCATCTTGATATTTTTAAGATTCGTATCTGGGAGTTCTTATGCCGGTGATCGAGTCTCCATGTCCGAGAACTGTTGCAAATACGAGTCCAATACACGATATCTCGTGTATGTGTGTGTGTGCCCGTATCAGTACATGTAAGTGGTTCGTGGTCATGACAATAATAATGACACCAGGTAGGAAAACGTATTATGCAATATCGATAATTTGCATTCCGTAGGCAAGATGGGTGGGGGATGCATCGTCAGTAGCAGCATTCGGTATTATGGCGACGGTGATCAGCGAAGGTCGGAGAAGCACCTGGATTCTCCACAAACAGGGGTTGAGACAAGGTACACCACACAGCCACTAATAATTCTTCATGTACGAGCGACGAGCGTCGAGCAGACTGCTAAAATTGTCCGGTAGACTGTACAGACTACTCGTACTCGTAGTAATGCTGTGATACGGAGTGAGTACTACTAGGCAAGCCGCAATAGCCAGTAATATTAATAGCATCAATGTACCCGTACGGGCGGCGGGCTCTATGGATCGTTCGCCCTCTCCGCAGTTCGGCGGCCACTCAACTACCGCTGTTAGACCATGGGCGCACTATGACGCCGCCCCCCTGGAACTGCGGATATTCCTGGTCTCGAATATTACCCGCTGAGATTTATAGGTACTCCGCCCGTTAGGTGCAGTCCAGCGATTCCAGGGAGAGAATTAGGGTGCAACGCGCTACGGGTAGTGCTGGACAGCTACCTAAGATTGGAACCTCTAGAATCACCACCGGACGACCCTCCCCACTGCGCTGCCGCCAAACCTGAGTCCAGGTCCGTAGATGACACAGACCACGACACCAGCCTTTCCATCCCCACGTGAGCCCTGCTTCCTCCTCGAATCAGCATGCCGGCTGTCTGTTTCCTCCGACTCCTTGTCTTCTCTGTTATTGCCCTCCACTGTCCTGCTTGAACTGTTGTGACCTTCTTCTCCTCTCCTCTCGTCTTCTTATTCATCACACCGGCTCAACGACGCAGATCTCGAAACTCCCACCCCCTGGCCTGTTCCCGATAGGTGGATGGCAGCCAATTGAGAGGCCCGTCCCCTCGATAGCCCTTGACCGAACCCGCGACCAACTTCACTTTCTATCATATCCGACAAAGGCTTCACCATGTCACAGTCTATAGACGAGCAGAGAGCTGCCTCTCCCGCTCTTCAGGAGGAGAGGAGTCCTTCTCCCACGCCTAGCTCCAACTCCGGAGGAGGAACGGTATGTGCAAAGCTTCG